AGTCAGGTGGCATAAGGTATTCTGCAATGAGTAGAGGAGTGGAGAACTCTTCTTGTGCAATATTTCTGGACTTTCTCAACTGTGCTAATATCAGATATGAAATGTGGGTTCCAGACTGATGAGCTGGATTCGAGTATTGGTCTAGGAAATGTTTTGTATGCTCTAGTTATTAGTGCAATATTACCAGAGAAAAAGCTACATAAGATTAGGTTAACAACTCTTGACGCCTTTTTGGCTATGTAGTTACAGTGGGCTCTAGCACTTAGGTCATTAGAGGTGAGTATTCCAAGATCCTTGACAGAGTTTGGATCATCCACAAGGTCTTGAGTATTCAGCCTGTATTTTATTTTCTGATTTTTTTTTGCCAATATGTAGGACAGAGCATTTATTTATTGAGATTTGAAGTTGCCATTTGTTTGACCATTCTGATGCATAGTCGAGGTCTTTTTGAAGGGTAGCAGTATTGTCTGTGGTGTTGAATAGCTTTACATCATCAGCGAAGAGAATGCAGTTGCTCTTGATATGATCACAGAGGTCATTTATATAGAGTATGAAAAGAGTTGGTCCTAGAACACTGCTTTGGGGGACACTAATGTTGACAGGTACAGAATTTGATAGGACGCTCCCAATTTTGACCATTTGTTGTCTGTTTGACAGGAATGCTTCTGTCCAATTATGCAGGTGTCCAGAGATACCATAAGATTTTAGTTTTAGGAGTAGTTTGTTGTGTACCACTGAATCAAAGGCTTTACAGAAATCTATTGCTTTGCCCTGGGGTCCTCAACCACCGGTGGAGCACTCTGTACCGGGCTGCAAAGAATTTTTTTTTTAAAAAAAATGGCGGCTTTCTTCGCCTTCGGTGAATGCTGCTGGGATCAGGGATCAAGGACACAAATGAAAGAAGGGGAGGGAGGAAGCAACCGAAGCCTGTCCTGCTCTCTGGCTCAGCAGCTTCGGTTTCCTCCCGCCTCGTTCCTCTCTCAGTCGCTCTCTCGCTGCTCCACCAGCCCAGGAAGAAACTGCTTCTTTGAAGCAGGTGGGGGGGGTGGCTTTTCCTGTCGCCGCAGCTCCTCCGAAGCGCCCGTTTACCCCCACCCCGCCCGCCCGCGCGCGCTTCAATTCAGTGCTCCGTTCTGCCTGCCTGCCTGCCTTCGTTTGTTTCGGAGCAGCTTCGGCTGAGAATAATAACTATTCGCCTCTTTTTATCAGCCGAAGCTGCTCCGAAACGAAGGCAGGCAGGCAGGCAGGCAGGCAGGCAGGCAGAATGGAGCACTGAATTGAAGCGCACGCGGGCGGGGGTAAACGGGCGCTTCGGAGGAGCTGCGATGACAGGAAAAGCCACCCCCCCCCCCCCCCCCC